ACCGTCCCGATCTTCAGCAGCCAGCGCAGAGTTCCAATGCCAACGGTGCCAGTAGCAGTCTGATTATATGTCCGTCTCGCCTTTCCTCTGAGCGTTGAGTATCGACTAGATCCCCTCGTCACTCCTCGCTGAATCACTCTCACCAGACTGTGGTGATCCACCTGCTCCTCCGAACTGTACACGCTCTCCCACAAGGCACTGAACAATTCTGTCTTATCATGCATCAGTTGCCCACCAAACTGGGCCGAGCCAGGCTTCTGTGAATAAATGCCGATAGAAGAAACGAGGTTGGATGAAATAATATATGTAGGTTTGTGTGTACGTCAGATTCCGTGTGGATCCGGCAAGGAGGGACGTATGAGAGGTAGAGAAGGGTCTGTGGATCCGGCAAGGAGGGACGTGTGAGAGGAAGAGATCGGCGTGAGTATAATCAGTGTGCGACTGGAACAGTCAGCATCTACACCTTGAGACATCTGCTGCGGGAGACGGAGCATCTATGGGCCCGTTGGTGTGCTATGACGTCGATTCCTAAGTCAGTAAAATCAACAAGCACTCTCTCTCTCTCTCTCTCTCTCTCTCTCTCTCTCTCTCTCTCTCTCTCTCTCCCCTCTCTCTCTCTCTCTGCTGTAATAACTGCGAAGTGCCCCAGACAAAAGAACTCCGTAACCTTACCGGGGGTCGAACTCGAGTCTAATGTATGAGAGCTCGTCGCTATACCCACTCGGAAAGCTGCTCCTAAAGTCACATGGAGGAAGGGGGAATATTGGGGTTGGCTCTGCAACCTCCTCTGAATGACACAGACCATTGTTGTTGTTGTTGTTGTTGTCGAGGGTAAGTTGTGTGCTGGTAGTTTTCTATGACTTCCTTCTTTAAGAATGTACAATGAGATGTGTGCAAACATGTAAAACAATGAAAGACCTCTTCAAATGTTCCAACACATTTTTTCATTTGTGTGTATAATCAAGGGAAGTAACATTGCAATCTTAATATGCTGAAGCCAAGCAGGAGTTACTTCCCCGTCCCCAGCACGCGTGCACACGCACATACACGAGCACACACACACTCACACACACACTGGCGTATCTAGTTCACCAACAAATCTGGTTAACTATTACTAAAAGCCTGTTTAATATCTTCAACAAGTGAGTAAGGTATACACAGACACATGTACAATCATGCAAAAAAAGTCACAATGACGCGGCGAGGTTGCAAGATGAAATACCAATCTGGTAGTCATTGGTTCAAATCTCTAGTGAACTGGAGATTCCTTTTCGTAAAAACTAACTGAGTTTGCGCATAGAACTAGTGGCAGGAAGTTTGCAGTGAAAAAAAGACGGTCGGCGTGATGTTGACAGCACAATACCCAGAGTGCTGACTGTCACATGCACCTAAAGACACGACAGCCACCAGGGAGCAGCTCAATGGTTGATCCACGTCCACATAATGTCAGTGAAGTCCGCACACACGGAGTCTGTAATTGTGTTACACTGTGTTACACTGTGTTACACTGTTACACGGAAGCATGGGAGCCGGGACATTGGGGCGTGAGGTGGTGGTGGTGTAGGGGGGGGGGAGGAGACTGGGGGACCGGGTAGCCATTTTTAATTATTTAAATCAGTCAAGCAAAGAACTGTTTTCCACGCCTTTTAGGGGTAATAGGCACATAGGGCTAGGCGTATATTTTATAGACCAGTTGGTCTATCATCACTTGGTGGGTGATGTGGTCAGCGTCACGCCGGCCGCCTTTACTTCCCAGGACTGTACCTGGTACCCACTCAAGGCTCGGTGGACCTGGGAGCCAAGGTCATTTTTGAAAAAAGTCCTGACCCCTTTAGGAACCGAACCAATCCACAGATAAGGGTCTAACCGCTAGACCATGGCGGGTCTAGCTTTTTACTATTGTCATTTCAAACATATAATATTAATGACTTGCCATTAAGCATATAGATAACTGCACACTAAAACAGGCTTTTGTTCTCTCCAGCCCCCCCCCCCCTACCACCACCACCACCACCGTAGTCGGGGCCCCTCGCCCCCATATCGCACCATATTTTCTTTGTGTCGTTGCTACTTTTAAGAGTTCACTTTATGTGAGCCTGTGTACAACTTCTCTTAGAGAACTGATAATGTCTGACGTCTCCCAATAGTCTGCTGTCAATTCGCACAAATGTCTGATTTTTTCACACACAAAAAGGATGATGTCTTTTTTTTTCTTACAAAGCCACATCTGTGATTTCTCATCAAATGGATGTCTAGAAAATGTCATATTTTTGAAGTGACATCCTCCACATGTGTGACCAATGCCTGCAGATATTGTTGTGAAGTCTGTCTGTGTAAAAATGGCAAGAGATTTTTAAAAAGTCTGGAGTATAATAAGATCAAAATGTTGGATAATACGTCATCCCTCCTTTAAGGACTTCGTCACACACACACACCCACACACATACACACACAGAGACATGCACGCACCCACACACATACACCCCAAACTCCCTTATCCTCAAGCTCTTCGGGTCACGACAAGTTTATATGGCCTTGGCCTCAGGTCAAACCACGTGTCTTCTGGGGTCATATCCGGTTGAGGGTTTTCCGGCGCCAGGTCAAAGTGCAGCTGTTGGAGCAGGCCCACGACGGAGTAGAGGAGGTTCTGTCTGGCCAGGAACTCTCCTGTAACATGGACAAGAACATTGACACGGGTAGATATTGACATGTGTAAACACTGACATTGGTAGATATGACATTGGTAGATACTGACATTGGTGGATACCGATATGGGTAGATATGACATGGGTAGATACTGACATGGGTAGATATGACATGGGTAGACACTGACATGGGTAGATATCACATGGGTAGACACTGACATGGGTAGATACTGACATTAGTAGACATGACATGGGTAGATATGACATGGGTAGACACTGACATGGGTAGATATGACATGGGTAGATATGACATGGGTAGAAACTGACATGGGTAGATACTGACATTGGTAGATACTGACATTGGTAGATATGACATGGGTAGATATGACATGGGTAGATATGACATGGGTAGAAACTGACATTGGTAGATATGACGTGGGTAGATATGACATGGGTAGATATGACATGGGTAGATATGACATGGGTAGACACTGACATGGGTAGATATGACATAGGTTGACACTGACATGGGTAGATACTGACATTAGTAGATATGACATGGGTAGATATGACATGGGTAGATATGACATGGGTGGATATGACATGGGTAGATACTGACATGGGTAGACACTGACATAGGTAGATATGACATGGGTAGATACTGACATTGGTAGATATAACATGGGTAGATATGACGTGGGTAGATATGACATGGGTGGATATGACATGGGTAGATATGACATGGGCAGATATGACATGGGTAGATATGACATGGGTAGACACTGACATTGGTAGACACTGACATGGGTAAACACTAACATGGGTAGATATGGCATGGATAGATATGACATGGGTAGATATGACATGGGTAAACACTAACATGGGTAGATATGACATGGGTAGACACTGACATGGGTAAACACTGACATAGGTAGATATGACATGGTTAGACACTGACATGGGTAGATATGACATGGGTAGATATGACACGGGTAGATATGACATGGGTAAACACTGACATGGGTAAACACTGACATGGGTAGATATGACATGGGTAGATATGACACGGGTAGATTTGACATGGGTAGATATGACACGGGTAGATATGACATGGGTAGACACTGACATGGGTAAACACTGACATGGGTAGATATGACATGGGTAAACACTGACATGGGTAGATATGACATGGGTAGACACTGACATGGGTAAACACTGACATAGGTAGATATGACATGGGTAGAAATACTGACATGGGTAGATATGACATGGGTAGATATGACATGGGTAGATATGACATGGGTAGACACTGACATGGGTAAACACTGACATGGGTAAACACTGACATGGGTAGATATGACATGGGTAGAAATGACATGGGTAGATATGACATGGGTAGATATGACATGGGTAAACACTGACATGGGTAGATATGACATGGGTAAACACTGACATGGGTAGATATGACATGGGTAGACACTGACAAAGACGGACATTGGAATATGTGGCTATCAAGAATGATACACAATGAAGCAATGAGAAATTTTATCAGATGATGTAAAACTGAAAGGCTGTTACCTGTTGAAATTAAGGAATGACTGTTGACTTCGGGGGGGGGGGGGGGGGGGTGTGTGCAGATTTTCATCGAGAAGTGGCACCCAAACATCATGTAATTAATCAGCGTATCTATTTTTTGATGATGATATGTTTGGACACTTTAGGAAATAAAAATTGAAAAAAAAAAAAAAAAAAAAAAAAAAAAATTTCGATAACTTCTTTAAAAAAGACAAATCCTTATGAATCGTCAGGAAATGTTTATGAATCAACAGGGCATATGTCACCAGAAGTGACGTGATCTGATTTATAGTGGACGGTAACCCTCTCCGAAACAATAGCCATTTTGTTGCATTCAGAAGGTATATTCATTTTAAAATTGTATGTATAGGCAATAGTCCGCAGAATAGATAGGCAAAATTGGCGGCTGGTAACGGGAAACAAACAACTGTCAAATCGTATCAATTCTTTTGATGTGGATATACAGAAGATTAGGTCGTATTTAATGGAAACAAAAGCTATCAAATACAGAGGTACTGAGGAAATTGGGAATGAAAAGAGAGTTGCTAGGTGAAATAAAAAAGAGACAAGTGAAATATTTTGGCCACATTAAAAGACATAACAGTATTGTAAAGATCATCCAAGAGGGAAAGGTTCAAGGTAGGCGAGCAAAAGGCAGACAGCGTTACAAGTGGGAGGATAACATCAAGAGATGGAAGAACAGCAGTATGAGTGAGTGTACATCAAGGGCAAGAGACAGGGCTTGTTGGAGATCCATTGCAGCCAACCTTCATTGTGGAGACGGCGCCTGATTGTTTGATAGAACGGATTAAACTATGTATATTAATGTGAGGGGAAATGTTTGATATTCATTATTAGTAATTTTCACCCACACCTTAAGAATGGATTAATGACAAATACTGGAGTTTTTGAAGACTAAAACTTGTCAAACTTACCAATACAATTGCGCGGCCCAATACTAAAGGGGATCCAACTCTGCAGTCTCGTTCTCACTTTGGTGCCATTTTCCTCCAGGAATCGTTCAGGTTTAAATACTTCCGGGTTATCCCAGTGCCTGGGGTCACGCATGATGGCGTACTGGTTGACCAAGATGACGGTTTTGGCGGGAACGTCGTAACCTCCGACCTAAACCAGTTAGCAACATTAGATTATCATCCCTAAAGTGTAATTTAAAAAAAAGTAAAGATCCCTGTTCACGCCATAGGCGCATTGGGCACATGGGAAGAGCACCCATATTTTTACAGACTTGGTGGGTAATGTGGTCAGTATAACGCCAGCCATCTCTTCTTCCCCAGGACGGCCATCTTGGTACCCATTTTAGGCTGGGTCGACCTGCGACGCCCCATTCCACGATAAAAATCCACGTAGCATCTTTGGCCTCTCTAGGATCCTTCGCAGTGCTGTCCCAGTTATTTGTGAGTCGATGACCTTTATTTACAACCAATGTCTTGTCAGAGGCTACTTCCCATCTGCATTTAAGATTGCCAAAGTGTATCCACACCTAAAATCTGGTTCCTTAGACAGTAGTATTCCAGGTAACTATAGACCAATCTCCCTGTTATCTTCACTATCGAAACCACTAGAGAAACATATTCATAATGTAACTTTTCAGCACTTAGATCACAACAAACTTATAGTGGATAACCAATCAGGTTTTCGACCAAACTATTCTTGCCATACTGCCTTAACTAACATGACTGAAAAATGGCACCAGAATGTTAATGATGATAAAATATGTGGCGGGGTGTTTATAGACTTTAAGAAAGCTTTTTGATATGATAGACCATAACATTCTTATAAGAAAATTAGAAACAATGAAATTTAACCCAAGGCTATTAAAGCTAATTAAATCCTTTTTGTTAAATAGAAAACAAATAATCTGTTACAATAAATCACTGACTTAAATACTGGGGTACCTCAAGGCTCGATTCTCGGCCCTCTGTTATTCAATTTCTACATAAATGACCTTCCTTTGTGTCTGTCGTCGTCCTGCGATTTATTCGCAGACGACTGTACCATCTATGCAAATGCTCAAACATGTAATGTACTCGAGTCGTCATTACAACAAGAATTAAATAATGTAGTCCAATGGAGCAGTGCAAACCGTATGCAAATAAACATTAATAAAACCAAATCTATGCTAATAACGACCAGGCAAAAACTATACAGTTTAAATTCTCAGAGAACGCTTCAACTCTACATTGGGAGCACTCAAGTAGAAAATGTAACTGAGCACAAGACACTGGGGTTGGTAATTGATGCAAATCTAACCTTCAACTCACACGTACAAGCACTTGTGAAGCAAACAGCTAAAAAGGTTTACCAGCTTGCAAAAATTAAAACCTTTCTTGATGAACACACAAGAAAGATATTCTATATTTCTCACATCCAGACATATATAGACTATTGCTCTACAATATGGGATGGCTGTTCCAGCTCTGTTATCAAGCGGCTTACATCACTGCAAAAGCGCGCCATTCGCTTAATTAGTAACAATCATGGAACCGTGAGCTCCGAAACATATGAAGGTCTTAGGCTACTACCGCTTCGTGAACGTCTACTTTTCAATAAGGCGAAATATACTTACAAAATATTATCTCAAAAGGCTCCATGTTACTTATGGCCGTTGTTTAAATATAATGAAAGTCATAGTAAGCGCCTAAACATATTACATATCCCTAAACCTAGGATAGACCTTTATAAAACAAGTTTGTCATATTCCGCAGCTCAATTGTGGAATTATCTACCACAGCAAATCAAAAATACCACTAGTCCATTTACATACAGTCGGAAACTGTTCGAATATTGTCTCAGCACCGATTATATGCCCCCATAGAAGATAAAACATAAGTGAAAAATAGCGCCCATTTTCCTTAGATTTGTTACAACTGTAGTTAAAAATGTGCACATTCCAGTGCTGGTATTGATTATTTTGATGCTATTGCGAACTTTTAATATTACTTGATGTGTGAATGAAATGATGTAAGAATGGAGGGAGACCTCGAAGGGCAGAATGTTAGACGGGCCTGCGTGCCCAATTCTTAACCCTTTAAAAATATAGTTTGTTCGTTCGTTCGTTCGTTCTCTCGTCAAATTTGTTCTCGCCAACTCAGTCCATTTGTTTCAAATTAAGACAATAATTACAATCATTACAATATTAAAAATTATTATTGCAAAGTGACATCGTAGTTAAAAATGTTCATCTTTTATCTGCTCGTTACCGGCTGTAAACTCACAAAGGGAAGAGGGCGGGTCTGGGTTTTTTTTTGGGTCCACTTTTGGACTTTTGTCTTATGCGTGCACAACCGTGTTACAGATCTGGCTTCTTTGCCTAGTTGGTCATTCGTTAAAGTACACTAGTTTCTGCAGCAAGGCGCTATGGCTTTCAATTTTTGTGTTCTCTAGTGTGTCCTTCTATCTGTCTACATCTTTCTACGACTGTTTACTACATTTACTTGTGTGTTACACCTCTAGAAGCAAGAACACCTGACCTACCTGTGTGTCACACATGTATAGATAAGTTACCTGTAGACATGAGAACACCTGACCTACCTGTGTGTCACACATGGATAGACAAGTCACCTGCAGACATGAAAACACCTGTCCTACCTATGTGTCACACATGGACAGATAAGGTTACCTGTAGAAGCAAGAACACCTGACCTACCTGTGTGTCACTCATGGACAGATAAAAACACCCGTAGAAGCAAGAACACCTGACCTACCTGTGTGTCACACATGGATAGATAAGTCACCTGTAGACACGAGAACACATGACCTACCTATGTGTCACACATGCATAGATAAGGTCACCTGTAGACATAAGAACACCTGACCTACCTATGTGTCACACATGGATAGATAAGTTACCTATAGACACGAGAACACCTGACCTACCTGTGTGTTTCACATGGATAGATAAGTCACCTGCAGACATGAGAACACCTGACCTACCTGTGTGTCACACGTGGACAGATAAGGTCACCTGTAGAAGCTAGAATACCTGACCTACCTGTGTGTCACACATGGTTTCGTGTGGCAGTCCCATGGGAACCACGGGGTACAGCCGCATCACCTCCATGATCACTGTTTCTGTGTAGACCAGATCTGTTCTATGCTCTCTGCCCGGCACCGCACCACCTGTGGGGTTTATTGAGATCCGAACTTCACCAAAGCATTTAACTTGTGCCCTTACTGTATATAGCTGCGTCTGTGGCTTAGGCGTTGCGAGTCCGACTCGTAATTCCAACGTACCGCGATTGAAACCCTCTGCTGGCTGAGGGGATTTTTATCATGGTTTGGAGCGTCGCACGTCGACCCAGCCCAAAATGAGTACCAGGATAGTTGTCCTGGGGAAGTAAAGACAGCCGGCGTCATGCTGACCACATTACCCACCTAGTGGCGATTGGTTTGTAAAAATATGGGCGCTTTTCCCGATAGTCCTAAAGGGGTAAAGAGCGATCTTTACTTATTTTACTTACTGTGTACATGCTCGATTGTCTCACCAAGTCGGGCTAAAGAAGGTAGACAAGTGAGGGAGGTTAAGAAATATTTTTTTATTTTTCACATTTCCAACTGTTCTGGGCGAAGGAGTAATTAGGGTAGACTTTCAAATAGCATATCCTTGTTTAAGTGCTTAGTTGTAATAATATTAATAATTTAAAAAATGACTGTTATGCTGGTCTTTCTAGTCCGTCTTAGCTGCTCAGCTGCCATTTTTCTGGATGTCGCTGCTCCTCTTTGGATCGACGTTCGCCACGTAGTCCCGGTCTTCTGCAGCAGTCTCCCAGCAGTCTCCCATGTGTCTTACAGGAGTCTCCCAGCAGTCTCCCAGGAGTGTCCCAGCAGTCTCCCAAGCAGTCTCCCAGGTGTCTTACAGGAGTCTAACAGCAGTCTCCCAAGCAGTCTCCCAGGTGTCTTACAGGAGTCTCCCAGCAGTCTCCCAAGCAGTCTCCCAGGTGTCTTACAGAAGTCTCACAGGAATGTGCCAGCAGTCTCCCAAGCAGTCTCCCAGGTGTCTTACAGGAGTCTCCCAGCAGTCCCCCAAGCAGTCTCTCGGGTGTCTTACAGGATTCTCCCAGCAGTCTCCCAGGTGTCTCCCAAGCAGTCTCCCATGTGTCTTACAGGAGTTTCCCAGCAGTCTCCCAGGTGTCTTACAGGAGTCTCCCAAGCAGTCGCCCATGTGTCTTACAGGTGTCTTACAGGAGTCTCCCAGCAGTCTCCCTAACAGTCTCCCAGATGTCTCACAGAAGTCTCCCAGCAGTCTCCCAGGTGTCTCCCAGCAGTCTCCCAGGTGACTTACAGGAGTCTCCAACAGTCTCCCAGGTGTCTCCCAGCAGTCTCCCAGGTGACTTACAGGAGTCTCCAACAGTCTCCCAGGTGTCTCCCAGCAGTCTCCCAAACAGACTCCCAGGTGTCTCACAGGAGTCTCCCAACAGTCTCCCAGGTGTCTCCCAGCAGTCTCCCAGCAGTCTCACAGGCGTCTCCGGGGTGTCTCCCCGGTGCCTTACAGGAGTCTCCCAGCAGTCTCCCAGCAGTCTCCCAAACAGTCTCCCAGGTGTCTCACAGGAGTCTCCCAGCAGTCTCCCAGATGTCTCACAATAGTCTCCCAGCAGTCTCCCAGGTGTCTTCCAGCAGTCTCCCAGGTGTCTTACAGGAGTCTCACAGGAGTCTCGCAGGAGTCTCCCAGGAGTCTCCCAGCAGTCTCCCAGGTGTCTCACAGGAGTCTCCCAGCAGTCTCTCAGGTATCTCCCAGGTGTCTCATAGGAGTCTCCCAGCAGTCTCCCAGGTGTCTCCCGGGTGTTTCACAGAAGTCTCACAGCAGTCTCCCAGGTGTCTCCAATGTGTCTCCCAGCAGTCTCCCAGGGGTTTACAATAAAGGCTTTCACTGATGCCTCTAGCGTTTTGAGCGTTTTCTACGTTACTGTTACAGTGCTGATATAGTTAACGCTAGAGTTAAAAGACATAGAGGACGCTAATGTTACACTGACGTAATTGAAAACGCTACTGTTTTACTGATGAAACAAAAATGTTACGGTTACAATGAAGACACACAGAACGCTAATGTCACACTGATGATATACAGAGCGCTAATATTACACTGATGATATACAGTACGCTAATGTCACACTGATGATATACAGAACACTAATGTCACTCTGATGATATACAGAACGCTAAAATTACACTGATGATATACAGAACGCTAATGTCACACTAATGATATACAGAACGATAATGATATAAATAACTCTAATGTCATACTGATGCTATACAGAACGCTTATTTCACACTGATGATATACAGAACGCTAATGCCACACTAATGATATACATGACACTAATGCCACACTGATAATATACAGAACGCTAATGTCACCTGATGATATACAGAACGCTAATGTCACACTGCCCACACAGAACACGGGCGACGACAGTCGCTGACATACCTGTAGCCTTGTCGATCTCTTCGTGGATCTTGTTCTGGGCTTTCTGATTGGCCGCAAGGACCAGAAAGATCCAGTCTAAGGTTTGCCGGGACGTGGCGATGCCAGCAAAGAAGATGTCACGGATGATGTTCCGGGTGTGCAGGTCCGTGAAGCCAGCTTTAAGTGTCTCGTCTTCGCCCTCGACCACCACTTTCTGGGCCAGAAAGATGTTGTCAATGAGATTCTCAAGTTTGTCCTCTCGAAACTGTTTTTGTCGTTGATCGATGTGTTTCTTGATGTAGGCTGTGGTCGGAGAAACGGATACATGATTCAGTTGTCGGGGTTAGTGTCTAGACATGACGCAGAGAAAACTGGAAAAGGGGGGGGGGGGGCGTGGTAGGGACGCATTCATAGGTGAAGAGCGTATCATTAACGATAATAATTGTGATAATAATAATAATAATGATAATAAATGTAATAATACACTGGACATAATATGAAATGTATTTTGCTAAACATTCTTTTAAAGACAATTTCTTTACTTCATTAAACGGGAGTTTATCTCAGCTGTATTACAAAATAATGTGTGGGTAGTTTTTTTTTTTTTTTTTTTTTGGGGGGGGTGGTGGGGGGTGGTAACCTTAAGTGGCCTGAGTCTCCTAGGTTTCAGCATCCCTGTTGATGTCCAATAGTTTTGTGACTGTGTAGATGTATGTTGAAAGACAACGAAGGCTAACCCGGTCAATAAATGCTTGCAGAAGTCGGATGTGTCGACCCTTCACCGCGTCAGGAGCGGCAGAAGCCAGTTTATCTTCCTGATCATTGTCGCATACACCCGATTGTCCTGGCTAAACAGTCCGCTTTATGTTTCTTATATGTGTCTTACCAGGCCATCCGAACCACTCTAAGCACAAGACTTCTTGTTATATTTTTCTAAAATTTCCTCTGAGAATTAGTTACAATACAAATATGTCGGGCTGTCGTGATTACAAACTATGAAGGAACTGATTTGTGTCCCCTTCATAATGGAGACCAAGATTGGAATATCCTGTAAGATGATCGGTCGGGTGCATGGGTCTCAAGTGTCTAAGTCATTATGTCTTTAAACAATTTAAATAGTGACAATAACAAATTAAGATGCATGTACTCACGACAAAGTGTCAAAAAAGGTGCCGGTAATCACAACATGGTGTAGTAGCGCGGGAGGGGGTGACATTATAAAAAAGTGGCCAAACTGCCTACTGTTGCATGAGCCATATTTCCGCAATAACCCCACGAGAAGAAGATCTGGCACAACTCACCTCTGGTCTCCTCCACAATACGAGTGGCTTCTTGGAACCTTCTGGTGGGCCAGTACAAGAGGATCGGGAACGCATCCTCCCAGAAACTGACCAGCTGCAGATTGCTGTTGTCGAAGATGGACAACAGCCTCACGTAATTCGGGTCATCTACGTCCAGGGTGTAGCCGAAGCAGAGGTCATGGATCAGATTGAAGATGACGTGAGAGAAGAATCTGTGGGGGTCGAAAGATCCCTTCTGGGCGCTCAAGTTCGAGACCGCTGTCTGAACCACCTGGTGTATCCTCTCTGTGTGCTGTGACCCAGTTAGGAACTGACGCATGGCCTTCAGACAGAAGAGTACACATTACATGTGTGTATGTTCGTGTATGTGTGTGTACGTGTGTGTTGAAACAGAGTTAACTGACTAGCTTATTAGAAATTTAAATAGCCACTTGTTGTTTGGAAACTAAAACGTGGGCTAAGAGACTACATAGTTGAAGGCAATGCACGAAATCTTAAAAGTTGCGTATGCATCTGGTCAACGAATTTGAGAGACGATACTTAATCCGCTGGAACGAACGTTGATCCTCCTGGTAATAAATAAGGAGCATTTCTGTTCGACCTCATGACTGTAAGGTATATATGTTCTGTACCGAGCAAATGTCCTATTTCAATTAAATAGCTCCTAACTAATTCGCAACTAGGCGAGAATAAAAGTATGAAGCCCAGTCTACACTCGAGCAGGTAGGCCTGTTATGGAATACGCTTAAATCTCGTGGGATGAAACAGCGAGAAAGAATTTGTGAAAACTATATACAGTTCAGAATATGGGTGTACGAATAACATACGGAGCAATGACAAGAAATCTGGTAAAGTGAAGTGGAGAAAAGACTACACAAATTACAGACCAGAGCATGTTGTAATGCGTGGGGGGGGGGGGGGGGGGGAAGACGACCCCTACCCCACCCCCAATTCCCCAAAATACTGTCAGTATATCATTATTTAATTCAATTAAAGACTGTATATTTCAAGGCAAACATATAGACCCAAGAACTTGGTGACAACTTGCAAGATTGACAGAAAGAGAACAGCGAGTAAGCAAAGAGATAAATATATCGACTGCTTGGCGAGACGAGAGCACCACATGATCCCTGATTCTGCTGATGGTGTAGGATGGAGAATGAAGACTGCTTTTGCTTTTTGGTTAACCTATGTTGATGATGAAGATGATATTTCTATTGGGGATTGAGGGGGGGGGGGTGGGTGTCCTTGGGCGCTTCTTTCACTGAAAAGGGTGTGTTGAGTCAAAACAGTATAGAAAACACTGGATTAGACCGATAAAAACAGTTTATGAAATATTGGAATAGACAGTGATATAGCTGGGATATCTACAATGAGAACATTAACAACGACAACTACTACTTATATTGTCACCACTGCTACTTACTGCTGCTGCCGCTACTACAGCTGCTATGCTTTTTACTGCTTTTGCAGCTTCTACTGCTGCTGCTACTACAATTACAACAACAACGACAACAATAACAACAGCTGCTAATGGCGCTACAACTATAATTACAACATTAACAAAAACGACTAGTACTGCTATTACTACATTTGCTGCTGCAGCTACTACAACTAACACTTCTACTACTTCTACGACCACTACTACTACCATTACTACCACTACTACTACTGCTGCTGCTGAAGGTGATGATTCTTTTGCGTCTATACGTGCTATCCAAACTACTTTTACGACCACTATCATATATCACCACCGCCAACACTACCAATATCAAAATCAACCAAATCCGCAACACCCCCTGCTACTACCACCACAACTGTTTGTAAAACAACAGATTCGATTACACTGAGATATTTTACAACTATTTGGGCTCACCTGCATGGCGACCTTTCTCCTGTACCGCAAGGCCTCGCTGTAGGGCGCAAACGCAATGTTGTTGCAGTCTTCGCTGAAGGATGCCAACGAGGGCACGTGAGGCTTTGAAGCGAAGTCGTGTCCCCGCTGAAGGTAGGCCTCCTCCAGCGCCTCGATGCTGCTGATGACCACCCACCGACGGAAGCCCATTTTGTAATGGATCACGTCGCCATATTTTCCCTTCCATTCCAAAGTTTTCTTTGTTAGCGTGGAGCCTGGGGGTAACAATGTCACAGATGTCACATTAACACATATAACAATGTCACATACTCCACATTAACACACATACCAATGTCACAGATCCCACATTACCACACATAACAATGTCACAGATGTCACATTAACACACATAACAATGTCACATATCCACAAAAACACATATAACAATGTCACATATCCCACAAAACACACATAACAATGTCACATATCCCACATTACCACGTATAACAATGTCACAGATGTCACATTAACACACATAACAATGTCACAGTTCCCACATTAACACATATAACAATGTCACAGTTCCCACATTAACACATATAACAATGTCACATATACCACAAAACACACATAACAATGTCACAGTTCCCACATTAACACATATAAAAATGTCACATATCCCACAAAACACAGATAACAATGTCACAGTTCCCACATTAACACACATAACAATGTCACATATCCCACAAAACACATATAACAATGTCACATATCCCACAAAACACACATAACAATGTCACATATCCCACATTACCACGTATAACAATGTCACAGATGTCACATTAACACACATAACAATGTCACAGTTCCCACATTAACACATATAACAATGTCACAGTTCCCACATTAACACATATAACAATGTCACATATACCACAAAACACACATAACAATGTCACAGTTCCCACATTAACACATATAACAATGTCACATATACCACAAAACACATATAACAATGTCACAGTTCCCACATTAACATATATAACAATGTCACATATACCACAAAACACATATAACAATGTCACAGTTCACACATTAACACATATAACAATGTCACATATCCCACAAAACACATATAACAATGTCACAGTTCCCACATTAACACATATAACAATGTCACATATCCCACAAAACACATATAACAATGTCACAGTTCCCACATTAACACACATAACAATGTCACATATCCCACAAAACACATATAACAATGACACATATCCCACAAAACACACATAACAATGTCACATATCCCACATTACCACGTATAACAATGTCACAGATGTCACATTAACACACATAACAATGTCACAGTTCCCACATTAACACATATAACAATGTCACAGTTCCCACATTAACACACATAACAATGTCACATATCCCACAAAACACATATAACAATGTCACATATCCCACAAAACACGTATAACAATGTCACATATCCCACATTACCACGTATAACAATGTCACAGATCCCACATTAGGGTCAGTTGCATATTCTATAGGGTCCTCAAAATCGCAAACTTGTTGTTATATAGAGGTCGCGGGACGGGAGAGTGAGTTTTTGATATTCTGAGGTCGTAAATGCGTGTCATAAAATGACGCGGGTCAGACACAGACACGGTGACACCCCTTTAACCTTGGCAGAAGTCGACTCGGCTGATCAAGTATCAGTGACAACTTGCATAGTGTGTTATTGGGCGGAGCTCACCTAGATCGGTCTGAAAAAGTGAGTGGTACCCAAACAACATAGAACAAAGAGCGTAGTATGTTATATCAGTTAGATTGTTTACGTGAGTATTTCTTTGATGTTTGTTCTATGTTCTTTGCTTTCTCTCTCTCTCTCCATCTCTCTCTCTCTCTCTCTCTCTCTCTCTCTCTCTTCTCTCTCTCTCTCTCTCTTTCTCTCTCTCTCTGTCTAAGGTTACCCCACCCCACCCCCCACACACACACACACACTTCACGTGCACACACATGATCTTCTAATTTGAACTCACGTGACCACCCACCTCTAAAATCCAGCACGTTGCCAATTAAAGGTAGACCAGGTGGGCCAGGTGGCAGCTTGTACTTGTTCTGTGAGAGCCACCGGTAGATGAGTCCAGCGATTAGAACTGCAGCAATCCCAGGCAGTGTGGCCAGGTTCCAGACTACAGCCAGAACTAGGTCAGCCAGTGACATTTTGAGAACGTTGGCGGCAAGTAATGACTTGTGAACTGGATATCCGGACAGGATCTGCAAACAGAATATCAGGACAGGATCTGCAAACAGAATATCAGGACAGGATCTGCAAACAGAATATCAGGACAGGATCTGCAAACAGAATTTCAGGACAGGATCTGCAAACAGAATATCAGGAAAGGATCTGCAAACAGAATTTCAGGACAGGACCTGCAAACAGAATATCAGGACAGGATCTGCAAACAGAATATCAGGACAGGATCTGCAAACAGAATATCAGGACAGGATCTGCAAACAGAATATCAGGACAGGATCTGCAAACAGAATATCAGGGCATGATCTGCAAACGGAATATCAGGACAGGATCTGCAAACAGAGTATCAGGACAGGATATGCGAACAGAATGTTAGGACAGGATCTGCAAACACAATATCAGGACAGGTTCTGGAAACAGAATATCAGGGCAGGATCTGCAAACAGAATATCAGGACAGGATCTGCAAACAGAATATCAGGACAGGATCTGCAAACAGAATATCAGGACAAGATCTGTGATCAGAATGTCAAGATAGGATCTGTCAAAAGGATAGCATTATAGAGTAGAGAACAGTGGTACAAGCCTAAGTCGGCGTCTGTGGCTTAGGCGTTGCGAACGAGCTTTGCAATGCTGGGGTGCCGGGTTCGATCCCTGCTGGGGACAATTTGTCTTGCGCTGGTTTCAATAGTGGTACGGAGAGCTGACCGTTAGCAATAGCAAAACTATTGACGTAAAATTTGCCTAGAAAACCACAACAGCCAATGAATGCTGGGGTTGGTTCTGCAACGTCCTGTAAAGGACACGCATTTGTATATAGTGCAAGCCATATACTGACATTGACTATAGACCAACTGACACTCTATGGCTTATTGATTAAAAACATTTAAATATTTTTTTCGGGGTGGGGGAGGGGAGGCGGGTTGTGTGGGGGGAGCTGTACTAATTTTTTAAACATCCTCACACTGAGCTAGATTTGAACATGCGACTACCAGACCAGCTGTCGATGTAGTAGCACGGTCGATGGTGCCTACATTGTCCTACAATAGTTTCTGTCGGATACATCGCTTCAACCCACCCACATTTGAAAACACTAATGGATCATCAGCATCATCAATTTCCACTCCTACCGTTAAGCTTCCTGGGGAGGAACAGTTTGCGATCCATGGCTTGATGGGCAACAGTGGTTATTGTCATTCCTTGTCTAGAAACTCTTTAATGTCATCAATCTATTTTCTCCTAGGGCGGCCTCTTGCTTTCGCTTCAGATCTTTTCATGTGTAGCACTTGTGTTGGTAGTTGTTCTGTCTGAATTCTCACTAGATAACCAAACAAATCCATCTTCAATGAATTTGCTGTCTGGTTTCGTTCACACAGTCTGTCGGATAATATTATAGTAATATATGATGTGTCGGCTCTGTGGCTAAGTCGATGCGAACGCTTCGCTTCCTAATGCCGGGATGCCAGGTTCGATCCCAGCTGCGGGCATTGCGCCTTGCGTTGGTTTCGACAGTGGTATCAAGAAAGCCGACCGTCCAGAAAGCAATGGCAAACTACTGGACATACTGTTGGGGTTGGTTCTGCAACGTCCTGTAAAGGATACGCAACTAACTAACTAATATATGATGTGATTATTTCTAACCCTATTTCAGATGGTCACGCCAGCGGCTTGTCTCAGGTATCTTACTTCACTGGTGTTCACTTGGTGTGGCTGACCACCGTAGGGCTGCCGCTGTAAAACTGTGTTATAGGTTGAACAGGTTTTTTGGATTTGTTCCAGTCATTTTGCTTCTGACTGCTCATCGTGTGAAAACTCATGAGGAAAGTTCTGGTTGTTGCTCTACTTGTGAACTTTATTCTTTCTCTAGAACCTGTTTCGCGTGCTTATAGGTTTTACAGATCTGACTTTTTTGTGTATGCAGACTGTTAGTTGCCTCTCAGGCAGATGCACTCCGGCTTAGAATTAACCCCCCGTCCCCCCATGATTGTTGGAGGGAGGGGAATGAAGGGGTCTATTATGTTTTAATCTCACAGTGAGGCCCGGAACTCACACGGATTATTTCGGTAAGATTCTCGTTACTGAGGTGTTAATCCTATTGACGGCAATCCTGGAAGGGGAACAATTACCTATCTACCTACCTACCTATCTACCTATCTATCTACCTACCTACCTACCTATCTACCGTCTGTCGTATACACTTGAAATGTTGGAACTGTTGCAAGAACCAGGTCAAATACTTTAGATAAGCCTGTTCGTGTTTTTGTCCTGGACACTTGAACTTTAGCAGACTGATATCAGGGTTCTCCAGGCAAGGTGTGTTTGTCTACATCACAGCTTCTCAATATACAAATATCACAACATCTCAAGGTAAATACATCACAACTTTCCAGGGTAAACATATCACAACTTCTCAATGTAAATATATCACATTGTTTTAAGGTAAACATTTCACAACATGTCAAAATAAACATATCACAATATACATATATAGGTCGCTTTGCTTGACAAACTTCTTCAGGAGTTTCTCACAAAATCTAAAGGTGTCATTGTAAGTGATTATTAGTTACTTACGTTATCTCTATTTGTATTTTTTACTCTCTCTTTCTGCGTCTCTCTCTCTCTCTCTCTCTCTCTCTCTCTCTCTCTCTCTCTCTATCTTTCTCTCTCTTTCTCTTTACCTTTCTCTTTTAGTCCCTTTCTCTCTTCTTTTGATCTCCACTCTTTCTGCATCGCAAAGTCTCCATGTACTGTTGTCTGTCGTCAGAACCTCTCCACTCTTTCTGCATCGCAAAGTCTTCATGTACTGTTGTCTGGTGTCAGAACACCTCCACTCTTTCTGCATCGCAAAGTCTCCATGTACTGTTGTCTGTCGTCAGAACATCTCCACTCTTTCTGCATCGCAAAGTCTCCATGTACTGTTGTCTGTCGTCAGAACATCTCCACTCTTTCTGCATCGCAAAGTCTCCATGTACTGTTGTCTTTCGTTAGAACATCTCCACTCTTTCTGCATTGCAAAGTCTCCATGTACTGTTGTCTGGTGTCAGAACACCTCCACTCTTTCTGCATCGCAAAGTCTCCATGTACTGTTGTCTGTCGTCAGAACATCTCCACTCTTTCTGCATCGCAAAGTCTCCATGTACTGTTGTCTGTCGTCAGAACATCTCCACTCTTTCTGCATCGCAAAGTCTCCATGTACTGTTGTCTGTCGTCAGAACCTCTCCACTCTGTCTGCATCGCAAAGTCTCCATGTAGTGTTGTCTTTCGTTAGAACATCTCCACTCTTTCTGCATCGCAAAGTCTCCATGTAGTGTTGTCTTTCGTCAGAACCTCTCCACTCTGTCTGCATCGCAAAGTCTCCATGTACTGTTGTCTGTCGTCAGAACATCTTCACCCTTTCTGCATCGCAAAGTCTCCATGTACTGTTGTCTTTCGTTGGAACATCTTCAGGATTCTGTATCTGACTTCTGCAATTATTGCTTAGATTATTTTGCGTTAGTTAGCCCCGCTGCCATGCTTGCACGTAAAGATACACCTGCCATTGTGAGGGTTTAAGCCTAGACCTGTGATTTAGTAAGCAGACACTCTAACCCCTGTGTCATCTTTAGATGTAAAACATAGAACTTTCTTACTGTAGACTTGCCAGAGCTCAACTTACAACATTAAAGATCAAAACCTTCTATAAAAGTGAAACCTGCCTTATTCTGTAGTTTCTAGTCTGCCTTATACTGTAGTTTCTAGTCTACCTTATATTGTAGTTTCTAGTCTGCCTTATACTGTAGTTTCTAGTCTGCCTTATACTATAGTTTCTATTCTGCCTTATACTGTAGTTTCTAGTCTGCCTTATACTGTAGTTTTCATAAGCCTTCAGCAAAATCACATAAATTATATTATATAATCTCCTTAAAGACTCTATTAAAAGAAAATTGTATTTGTGAACAAAGCTCTTAATTTCTTGAGGACCCTGGAGATTGTGAAGCCCTAAGCTGCAGCCTGGTTAGCTTATGCCTCAATCCAGAACTGATTCCACTGGACAGCTTGGGAGAAGATGGTCCACGACCTGAAGGTGGCGTAGGTTGAACAGGTAACACAATACTCAAGTTGTATGAAGCTAAATAAGAAACACCTCCACCCTCCCCCAATCAGTCAACCAACAACAAACCGCCCATCTAACCAACCAGCCAGCCACAGAACCAAAAACTAATCAGCCAGCGAACCACCCAGCCACAGAACGAAACAACCAATCAACCAGCGAACCACCCAGCCACAGAACGAAACAACCAATCAACCAGCGAACCACCCAGCCAAAGAACGAAACAACCAATCAACCAGCGAGCCACCCAGCCACAGAACGAAACAACCAATCAACCAGCGAACCACCCAGCCACAGAACGAAACAACCAATCAAGTCGCGAACCACCCAGCCACAGAACGAAACAACCAATCAGCCAGCGAACCACCCAGCCACAGAACGAAACAACCAATCAACCAGTGAACCACCCAGCCATAGAACGAAACAACCAATCAGCCAGCGAGCCACCCAGCCACAGAACGAAACAACCAATCAACCAGCGAACCACCCAGCCACAGAACGAAACAACCAATCAACCAGCGAACCACCCAGCCACAGAACGAAACAACAAATCAAGTAGCGAACCACCCAGCCACAGAACGAAACAGCCAATCAGCCAGCGAACCACCCAGCCACAGAACGAAACAACCAATCAACCAGCGAACCACCCAGCCATAGAACGAAACAACCAATCAGCCAGCGAGCCACCCAGCCACAGAACGAAACTACCAATCAGCCAGCGAACCACACAGCCACAGAACGAAATAAACAATCAACCAGCGAATCACCCAGCCACAGAACGAAACAACCAATCAACCAGCGAACCACCCAGCCACAGAACGAAACAACCAATCAACCAGCGAACCACCCAGCCAGGGAACGAAACAACCAATTAACT